TATAGCATGTGTTGGAAGAATTGGGTGAATAAGTGCCCTAACATAGGAGTCTCTGCTGCAGTCACATGAAACCCCTCACCTTGAGTTAAGTTCTTTTGAAGCACTGAACTCCACCAGCTGGGATGAGATGTAAATTATCAGTTGATTTTCCTAAAATAGGAGGCTTTTGGTCTCTTTTTCATGTCATTAGTATTTCATTAAAAGAAAAAAAAAAAAGAAATTCCATCATTACCAAACAGGAAAATCTGTGTATAACTAACCATAAAGTTAAAGAGCAAAACATAGACATGTGTGCTTGTGTTTACATAAACATGTATGCATGAATACAAATGCAAAAACATGCTGTTATATCTATATCTCTCTATATATTTATATCTGTGGCATTTGCCATCTGTTAGCAGTGTAATACTGGAAATAAGCATCTGGCACTGTTTCATATAGTAGGGCCTTTTGACAGCTGATGCTAGGGAATGCTGTACCTTTGGGGATTACCAAATAATTAATTAGGAGTAGGTAAACATACTGGAGAACACGAAATTCCTATACTGAAAGCAAGAATGTCAAGGTACTCTTAGATTTATTTTTCATCTGGCGTACAGCCTAACATCAGATTTAATGCTTTTTGGCGGGATGCCCTGACTGTGTTTAGGGCAATTTTTGTTAAAAGTGAACCATAAAATATGTTAATAATGTTACTTGTTAGTTTTGCATCTACATTATTATTACAACTCCACAATTGCCCAGGTAGTTAACTGTAAACACTGAAAACAGTGCAGAGAGAATCACTGAGTTTATTTCTCTGGAAATAAACTGCAAGAAGATGTGTGCTGCATGAACCATATGGTATGCTATGTGTTACCCATGGGTTAATGGTTACAGAGCGCTGGAAACAGATGTGACATTTGAGCTATTCAAAGGCTAAAACGTTTTCTTCCTTATCAGATGGAATTATTCATTGGCTTCCAGGTTCAAAAGTGTTTAAATCACTGCTGCATTTACTGCACTTATTCAGACACCTCCAAGGGCTCTTTTTGGTCATATGTCTTTGCAACCCTTTGCTGGGTGTAGTGTGTGAATGAAACAAGCTGTCTCTTGGAACGCTATTTCCTTCTGTTTCCAGAGCAAATCAATCTTACAGTGTGGGATTTGAACAGCTTTAGCTCAGGGAAAGGTACAACCTTTCAATCTTATATCATGTAAAGCCAGTATACTTTTCATTGCTTTGTTGTTATGCATTGATTTTTGAATGAATTAATCAAAACTGTAGCCAGGAATTGGGTGGAGATTGGAAAAATAGATCATCTTCCCCAAAGGGGAAGGGAAAAGCGTATCAGTTGCTGTCCTGTAGAGCTGGCCGTCAGAAAAGACATTTGAAACAAGGAATACTGTCCAAGTCATGAAATTTGTAAGGAGGACACAAATAATATGGTCTGCTTTGCTACAATTCCTTATGTACACAGACAGACACATACACACACATAGATTTCATGCTCAAATTGACCATTTGGTTCCTAACAAATGCCATGTCACGTGCACTCCATCTCATCATGTTTCAGAAATTTCCGTTTTGTCATCTTTTTTATTTGGATGACATTTTCACTATGATACAGGAAGCTCAGCTTCTCAACCAGGTATGGAAAACATGTATTGCGCTCAGAAAATGAGTATGTGTATATATATAATTTTAGTAGCGACTGATGTGTAGTTGCCCTCAGAAATGGAGCAAGAAATATCTCTACCACGCAACAGCAATATAGAGAAATAATCAAATCCAGAGATGCTGAATGAGATGCACCTGTGGAAACAGAGGCAAATATACCAGCAGAAAGAGCCTGATAAGAATGTGAGGGGGAGGAACTTGGGGGTCACAGTCCTGCACTAGCAATTAGGGCATGGTTACAGGATGTAATCAAAAAGCATTGTTTTTAGCAGTGCTGAAACACTCAGAGTTGTACAGGGGAAGCTGCAAGATAATTTGAGAGGACTTGATGGCTGTGAGAGCAGGGCCATGGCTGGTTACACATGGACACTGTTACCCTATCAGGTGCTTCAGCACTGGCGCCATCACGCCAGGTTGGTTCCAACCTTCTCCCAGGGCTGTTCACTTGCTGATTTGTTGGGTGGCTCCCTGCCTCACGTACAACTTCTTTGGTCGTGTTCGTCCCAAATGTTGTGAGTACCAAAGGCAACAATTGTTGGGCATTCATTTCATTTTGCACATTTCACAATGTGCAAATATGCTGATGCGGATCAAGCCTCATCCATTAAAACTAAATGAATTGAAATCATGATTAACAGTAAAAAATACAGCTGTTAGATTGTGCCCTTTATTACCTGGGTTCTTTGGCAGCTATCTATTATTTTAAAGCAGCATCTGTTGACATACTCTAATCCTATGTGAGAAAGTGAAATAGATGCTTTGCTTTTTAATAAAGAGTGTAAGATACTGCTTTTGAAAATTCATGACTGCATATGCTACTAATCCTGATGATGAACTCAACAGCTAAATTAAAAACAACCCAAACATCATGCCCAAAGGGAAGCAGCATCATGATAAACTGTAGTTGAACCGCACCACAGCGTAATAAGGAAAAGAAAAATCAATATATGAACCTCTTTAAGAGTCTTTAGTGCAACATAAATGTAAATGTCGTTAATAGGAAGCTGCCATCTGGACAGTTGGATAATGTAGATTCTGGCAATAGAGGTGCCATTCCTCTTGGAAAGCACAAGAAAATCAGACTTTGAAAGATGTTGCAAACAAAGTTTTACTGAATCTCTTTTGAATATATTAAAGTTGGCTATGAGAAAAAGCTTGCAAAGCCATCAAAAAGGTTTCCTCTTACTTCTTCATGTTTTGGATCAGGGCAGAGATCACTATTCTCTATATTAGTGATATAAATGTGTACAAATGTGACCACAGGGAAAAAAAAAAAAAAAGGTGAGATGCCTTTTTAAAAGATCTTTTCTCTAAAAAGGAGATTGTATTCCAAAAGAGTCTGTATTATGGGATTCCTACTTTATATATGTAAAACCCTGAAGTCAAAGATAGTTTACAGGAGAGAGAAAGCAAACATATTTTTAAGACCTTTTTTTAAATGATCACCGCTCCTTGTTTAGGTTTCATAGAAGACCGCAGAACAGCAAATAAATGAAAAGCAGGTACTTTTCCCCAAGAATATTTTTACTGTACATTTTGTAGCAAAAAAAAAAAAAGAAAAGAAAAAGAAAAAAGAAAAAAGGAAAAAATATTCTGATCACAGGGATGTCATTTCTAAAACTCCAAGTAGGAAACATGACAAATACAAGATCAAGTACACAGCCATGTCACAATATATCTCTGCACCTTTAAAAAAAATATACATAGAGTTTTTTTCATGTGTTATTTGCTCTGTGCCCTGACCCTTTCCCCACATCTTTTACAAAATCATAGGAACTATGTGCAATTTCAGAATGGTTCCCAGCAGCTGATCATTGGCAGCCAACAAATTAATAAACAAGGGCAGTCGCAGTAGCCACCAGAATGCTGGAAATCACAGTCTAGTCACCGAGGACAATAAAGTCACCGACGGCAATGGACCATGGGCACTTCCAAAACCACAGAAATGCTCCCCAACAAGGAATCTGAGAATCAGTTTACAAGCACTGAAGAGCTTATGTTCTTAGTTAACAAATAGGTTAGGGTGAGGGACAGGGGCGCTTGGGTACATAGGAAAGGCTGTTTGTGTGCAGGGGACACGTGGGAGACTCCTTGTCCTGACACTCAAATTTAACTCTTTTTATGTGGCTAATTGGGAACATATCCGATCCCCTGAAACACACAAAAACTTACATTTCATGTGATGCTAGTGGTACAGTCAAGCTGTGTCATGGAGACTGTAGAAGGAGCTTTTGTCACATTAGGGTGGAAAACTGTGTTCTCTTTGTCAGTTGAGTAGAGAGTGACAGCGTGACCTTTGCCAGAAGCAACTGGCATTCATAATGTAGACTGTTCATGGGAGACACTTTGGTTTTCCCTTTCTTTTTCCTTTACTATGAAGTCTTGATAACAACTTTTTGCATCTTTGTTAGCAAAACCGCCAGAGATACCAATAGTTGCTGCAATCTGCCTTAAGCCCTGACAAGCAGAGAATATGAAGAAGATAGGAGGACTTTTTAAAAACTTATCAGGCCCTGGATTTTAATTTTTCTAGGACATGAAGTGTAGTATCAGAGGTGGGTTATACAGAACTTCAGAAATTTGACCTTTTTACGGATCCTTCTTTCCATCCAGGGGATTTAGTGGGAGACTGAAAACTAAACAAAAAATGGAAAACATGGAAACAGACTTTCTGCTGGGAAAGAAAAAACAGAAACCATCAAAACAAAACAGCCCAAAAGCACTCACAAGGCAAAACAAAACAAAAAATCAGCAAATCCCAAACCAAAAGCCCACTCGACAGGTATTGTTATTTTCCCAGATGTCACAGTTAACGCTACAAGATAAACAATTTGCTTTGATCTGTCCCTGCAGATGCCCTGCCTGTGCATCTGAGAAAGTCATTCGCAATAATAACCAGATGCATCCTAGCACCAGTCTTACATCCATAGAAGTGCATTTCTGTGGATAAAAGAGTTGCCCTTATATAAAAAAAGAAAACCTTTAAAGTTAAATTTATGCTCTTATACCCCTTTTCATCCTCTGTTTAATCTTGTTTGACAGTTCACCAAGAACTAGAAAAACTTTTGGAAAGCAATGATAAATACAACAGTAAATTTCTTGAAACATTCACACGTTTCAGCTGGGGACCAACAGGAACGGTACCATATGTGCCTATTCACATTGCAAGACCTTCTTTCTCTTTTAGCATCCCAATTACTTATTTATTTACCTATCCGTTTTGCCAGTACAACTGAAAACATTTCCTCCCCTCTCTTTCCAAATGCAGCAGCAGCATGCTACTGCAGCAAACCACAATATATAACACATGAGTGGAGAAGATGGGGGGAGACTTTGATATTTACACTGTGCTTTCCATTACCCACTCTGAACTCCCGTAAGTCCCTTTTGCCCCTGTTAGGTCATTGTCATCGTACTGTAAAAGCATGCCATTCACCGAGAGGCTCCTCTTTGTCCAAATGTTCGTTATCTTTTTTGGGTAGGTACAACACTGAGATGTAGCAAAGTCCCCCATGTCAAAAGAATGGCTACGTTTAGTTTTGCCCTCCAGAGGTAACATGAGGAGGCTGCGAAATTTGGACTCCGGCTGGCCCAGCAGTGGTTCTTTGTCTGAATGGCGGGCCGCCGTGGAAGTTCTGGAGTCTGTCGTCTCCTCCTTTTTCTGACATTTCAGTTCCAGGGAGGCAAAAGCTCCCATTAGACGGTCAATGTTGTGTTTTGACCTCGAGGGGGGCCTCCACTTACTGGACAATGTGCCCTGTTCACTTTGGAGGCTATAGTTATCACAGTCACGGCTATTCACAGAGCTGGAAGAAGAGGAGATGCTGCTTCTCACAGACCCAGAGTTAAACTCCATAAGTTCGTTTCTCACCACCACTTTGGGGTTGACTTGGGGCAGGACTCCATTTTGAACCGGTTGTGCTCCATTTGTCTGTGAGTAGACGTTGCTGACGTTGGACATCTTCCCTTGGGAGTTGTTGCAGACCTTGTAGCGGACCATCAGTATTACAATGAACACCAACAGAGTTGCCACAATGATGCCCCCAATGATCAGAATCATGGTCCCACCCAGGAAATGGCTGTGCATTGACTGGCACTGAGGGTAGTCTTCTTTGGTGAAGAATTGGGCGCACCCTACAATATTGGTGGCAGTAAGAGTAGTGGCGGTGTCATCCCACATTGCCAGAACACAGAGGTCATAGCCTGTTCCAGAAACAAGGTTGTTTACGACAAATGCTTTGTTTGTAGCAGGAATCATCCTTTAAGAAGAAAAAAAAAAAAAAAAAAAAAAGAAGATAAAAGAAAAAATATGTTACTGAGGAAAATGAGGAAACAAGAGAACAGTCATGGGAACAGTGTGTGAACTGGCAGGAAGGACTCAGAGCCATAAAATTCAAACAAGCATTCAAACTTCCTGGTTCTTGTGGGTCCAACAACCCAGTATTCAGGAATACAGAAGTTTTGAAGGCCAACTCTCAAATGTACAACAAAGGGAGTAAAGAAAACCAAAGCAAAGCAGTCTGCTCCCTTTCTCTCCTTTCTTGTACTGATCTTAAATACATTTAAACCTGAACAAATAATTCAGAATAAAAGTACATGCCTACCAAGAGCGGTTCTTTCTGAGTGTGCAAATGACCATTGCATTTCCTAAGTCTGAACCTGGCAGTCGTGACAGCGCTTCGTGCGTGCCTGAACGTGTACTGTATAACTCTGGTAGGTTGCTTACCTTGTGAAGACAAGAGGCTACATTTAGTTTTAGCGTTCCATGAGAATGCAGGGCAGGCAGCCTCTCCTGCTTCAGAGAAAAAGAAATATTGGCATTCTCAGTGGCTGAGAATAAAACCAGTGGTGCCCCTTGCCTTTTTTTTTTCTCTTTACTGCTACATAATTACAGGCTCGAGGGAGAGAAAATAGCTGAAATTAGAAACAGTCCATTCTGACTTAGAGATGCAGATCTTTAGCACAGGCAACAATGTGCAACACAGACCAAGCTGGCATGAGTGTAACTGGGATAGTAAGGTATGGCCATAGGAAAAAGGCATACTCCTGGGAGTGCCAGGATTTCCTAGCCTCAAACAACATTCACAGACAGCACACATTACAACACTCCAGGGACCTCTCAGTGCAGTGGGAGGGAACAGACCTGCACAGAGAAGCAGCATCAGGGCACTACAAAGGTGAATATCTGATCTCTGCATCTGTGCGTTCCTGCACTTAGACTTACTTAGACTGCACTTAAAATCACACCCGCCTGGCCACAGGCAACGTTCTGTTTCAATTTTAAAAAGCAAACACAGAAACAAACAAAAAAATTGTGCAGGTAAAAGTAATATTGATGAGAAAAACTTGGAGGATAAACCTGGCAGATTTACTCAGTGTTATATTTGAGATCCCTGACACATTCATCATCATAATAGAGATGTTCTGCTCAAACACGGATGAACTATTCAGTATGAGATGAGAGGATATAAAGCAGCCCTCTTGGAAACTGCTGGGAACTATAGCTAAAATGACTACTAATAGCCACAGTGGCTGGTCTCAAGTCATTTCTAATTGTCCTCCTCTCTGTGTGGCTTTGACAACAACACACAGCTGGCACAACAGCATGGGGGCCACGCCTGCACACTACTGAATTGTTCAAGGAACAGTTTTGTACCATCTTCATAACTAAAATCCACAGACCACAGCACTTATTGTTCCCGTGTGTTACTCTATTTCTCCCTTCTACCAGTTATTATTATAGTTCACCATAGTATTATCAGGCCTGTGAATAAGTGTAACAATAGGACACCTATTTCATCTATTTCTATCTGGCACATATTCTCACTTTTTCCAGATGATCTGCAAGTGGAGACATACTGAAAATCTTCATGGAAGGTCTGCTGCTGCTGATTATAATGCCTCTGCATTTATTGTCAATGCAGACCCTGCAACCAGCTCTTTTCTTCATCTGTCCCAGGTCCCACAAACTCAGAAACTCTCCTACAGGGGGTTGTCATCTATCTCACACTTCGCTCTGCTCCATTCTTATTTGTCTTCCATAGATTTCATAGTCCCAATCCTGCTAAGGGAATGTCATATACACAAACTAAGGATGATACACAGAATAAAAGAATCAAGCTTCAATTACAAGATCTTCAAGCTCATGAGCAGTTTCACCAGTTGCTTCATCTCTCCTGTATTAGTGTGCTATAGTCCACTTTCCACTCTGTCAGCTACATGCTTACAAAAAATCTGCAGGGCATAAGGCCTTCAGAAATTGTTTCATTATGAAAGATCACTGCAAAGAAAAATAGCACTGTTAGCAGAAAGAATAGACAGCCCTGTAAAACTGAGTCTCAGTCTTGGATCATAACTCACAAGAAAGTTATAGTACCATCTGCTAGAGTGCTTCCTTTTGCTTTACACTGATTAAACACAGAGAGATCTTTTTATTCTCTCTGAGCAAACAGCAAACAACTGAGTTTACATAGCATATACACTTGCACATATCTTACACGAATAGAAGTATAGTATTTCAGCTTAACACTCCATGCTAATTTATACAGAATGAACACTAGTAACCTTAATCATTTACAACTTGTTTTCTTCATATCTGATTACAGGCAAGCTTTCAAGGAAATGTAGCTACTTGGAACATTTCAAAGGGTGGCAGTGGGTGATAGTGGCCATGATGGAGCCAGTCCATGTGAAAAAAGAGCAACAGCGAGGCCAAAACCAGTCCTAAAACATGGATAGGTTAGTTGCCTTGAAACTTGTCATAAAAGCTCATCTTAGTCTTTGAAAGAAATGGAGTCATTTCTAAGCGCAGTCAGTCCTGGGAGTCACGGCTGTGATAATATTGCTATTAATAATAGCTTTATAAAAGAACATAGTTGTAATCCCAGTTATGGAAAAAGCAATCAACTCTCCATGTACATCTAAAATGAAGATTTCTGGATGTTTCTGTAAATAAACTTTAAATGTTCTTGTAAAATGTTCAAATTAACAGTATTGCATGAGAACAGCTGAGCATAGGAGTAGGCACCAAATTTAAGTCTACTAAGAGTTAAGTAATTAATCTCAGTTTTCAAGCTTGTAGGGAAGGTCTCATGTTCATGAAGCTGCCAAATTGAGAAAGTATTTCAATATTCCTTGTGTGCCTTACCTAGGCCTTCTCAGTCAGCTTGCCTCCTAGACAGCTTTGATAGATGACATGTCTTAATGTTTCCCACACCTCAAATGCATAGGGACACATTTTCACCCTGGGATACCAATGACCATTCGATTGTCCAAGGCAGCATAGCTGCAAGATGTCACTTCAGTATATGCTTTGCTGCATGACAAGGGTATTCTCTTTGTGGCTGCTATACACATCCAGCACTGTTAGTTACGGATCATCATGCCCAGCAGTTGGGACTCAATAGTCAGGAGCGGCCACAAAAACAAAAGGGCTCTTTAAATCTGTGGGCCAGGCAGAGCTGCTGAAAGGCTTTGCTCAGTCAACTCAGGGCAACTAAACACAGAAAGTTGGTTTCAGGTATTCTATTGCCTGGGTCTCCAGAGGACATTTTTAAAAAACAGCTTTATATCTTGTGGCAATGAGCTTGATATTGTCCACCACCTTTGCGGGACAGTGCAATCTTGCAGAGCTACTTCTTATCACAGAGTGGGAGTAAAGATCTAACTTAGATATTAGACTTTCTTTAGGGAAAAAAAAAAAAAAAAAACTGCTGAGTAACTGCAAGAGAAAATCTACTAGAAAAACACCTGCTTAATTTTAAACTTATCCTAAGTTTTGATAGGTGTACAATTTAAGAAGCCCAAGAATACTGAGGCCTGGGAAAGCAGTGTCTTCAACTATGTTAACAGAATATGCGCAGGGAGATAAGAGTTCCCAGGAAAGGACCTAAAACCAACAAGCTTTGGATAGAGAATCCACTTAATAAAAGGCATTTAAAATCTAAGTGAAAGAAGAAGAAATTTGGGAATATTTTCAAATTTTTATTTTCTCCTTATGAAATTTCACTGTTTATAAGACAGTAATTTCAGTTTTTCTCATCCAGTTTACTTTCTTTGTGGTGGGAACAGCAGGTAAATGTGTTCCACATTAGCACTTGAATTTGTTATCTGTCTTTTAAGGTATATTCTGAATCATACCAGTGAAGATTAAAAATCCTCTTGTAAGAACTTGGTTCCAATCTCTCAGAAAACCTTGCCTGTAAGGAATGAAACAAGCAAGGAGGTCTTACAGTTGACCTTCATAAGGAACAAAAAGCCCTATTCTCTCACCTTTTGCCACAGTATTGTCACTTATTGGAAGAGGAGGGGAGATATGGCCAGCACTGGGGCATGGCATTTGTGTGAAATAGACTATCAACAGATACATGCACCCATGTGTTATGAAGAGTTAGGAAGGTTAGAGGAATGTTTTTGAACCTTTTACAAATTCATGGAGACTTAATGTCTCACTCTCTGAAAGCAAAAAAATTGATACCATGACAAAAAAAGCACAGTGGTACCACTTTCTTTGCATTCAACCTTATTTTATACCTTTGCTAAAAAGTCCTTATTGCGTCCTTAAAACAAATTTATAATTACTCTCTGTACTCTGTGGTGTTATTAAGAAAATCCAAAAATAAATGACTTAGAAATGCAGGAGAAAAAGAGTTGCTGCAAACTTCATACATAATCCCAGATCTGAGTGAGCACTGAAGCTTGCAGGCAGTGAACTGGTCTGAGAATTTAAGAGATCTGCATTTTATGCTCTACTTTATCACTTACATTGATATCAGGCTCTACTTTATCAGAAACTTTCAGTTCCTGAGAAACCATTTTGCTGTACTGTAAATCTCTTCATTTATAAAATGGGGATAATGCCAGCAATCTACTTTCAAAAGAAGCCTATAGTGTATGGGAGGAAATTAGCAGATATTATGATTACACTGTAATACACAAATGGATTCTTTTCTTCTTTGTAGCACTGGGGATTAGCAGTGAACTGCTGGTTAATACTGTGGCTATGCAAAACAGAGAAAGTAGAGAAAAGATAGATTAGGCTAATTGGCTAGGCAATTCCATTCCTTTTCTCCATCCATGAAAGGTGTGATACCATCTAGTTTTAGCCTGAAACTGCTTTAGTCACAGACCTTGCAGAGAGAAGTCAAGGTAGCTCCTTTGAGGAGGCATTTGCAACTCCCAAGACTCAGTTTTATGCTGACCTGCTAGACTACACTGCTTTTCTTGAAGTCCTATTTTTGTATTGTCCTGGGCTTTTCAT